GGGGCACCCGTTGCTGGCTCCCCTGACAGACCCAGCCCTGTGCTTGGCTGGGACTGGAGTGAATGGAGGGCTGATCACCGCAAGACGGGTACTAAAATAAGGGTGGTGTGTTAATAAGCTGCTGGTGGAGAGTCCGGATTTATTAGCTCAGTTTAGCGTCTTAATAAAGACAGACCCAGCCCTGTGCTTGGCTGGGACTGGAGTGAATGGAGGGCTGATCACCGCAAGACGGGTACTAAAATAAGGGTGGTGTGTTAATAAGCTGCTGGTGGAGAGTCCGGATTTATTAGCTCAGTTTAGCGTCTTAATAAACTGGCCAGAAGAGTAATAGTGCAAAAATGGAGAGTTAACATGAAACATTGGATTCATTGCTCCTTCCTCAAATTACACCTGGGCAGGTTGGAGAAAAAGGGGCTGTTCCTTTTCTAGGCTGCTCTCCCTTTCCCCTGCCTTTCCCCTGGGCTACAGGATAGATCTGGCTGTGAAATGCTGGTGGTGCTTAGGGGCACAGAATATGCCTTTAGTGCTGAGGGGCTCTGTTTACACCCTGCAGGCATGTCACTGAGAGCAGGAAAAAATACGCCTCTTTGCTAGGTGGTGAAGCACCGTCCTGCCCCTCTGCAGAGGGGAGTCAATGCCAGATGCAGAGCTCCAGCCATGGCCTTGGTGGAGCAGAGGGATGATGAGTTGTGGGTTTGCAGCTGCTCCTCTGCCTGAATCCCCTCCATGGATATTGCTTCTGACTTGGGGGGCTTGCACTCAGCTTCAAGCCTGCTTTCATCTCTGTGTCCATTCTTCTAGGGCTCCTGCCCCTCTCATCCTTCTGTCCCATCACAGACATTGTGGATAGCTAAACCCTGGTCCTTGTTGAATCCCATCTTGTATCTCTTCAGATCCTTGTTTCTATCTATCGGGATCATTTGGGTTCTCAACTGTGCCCCAGCCCTGTGTGTTGTGACTTGCAGCAGATTTACAATGTGGGTCTCTTTCCAGCTTGCCCTGCCCCTGTAGTCACCAGAACTGGGCCCAGTTTCAAGCTCTGGCTGTGTCTGGGCTCCTGTTTCCCCGCTGTGCTGACCAGCACACAGGGACAAGGACAGCAGTGTTGATGTGCTTGTCCCTACAGGAGGGGGAGCCTACATCCTGCCTAGGGCACGCTTCTTGCACAGCCCTTCCTCATTTCTGTAAAGAGGGTGGTGGGCTGGGCAGGAGCATCTCACTGTCGGCATAGGGGCCCTCAGGCTGCCTGTAGTTCCTGGCTACCCTGTCCCCTTGCCCAGCTCAGATGGACAGACCTGCCTGGCTGAGGTGTCCAGAGTGACTGAGCACAACTTTCCGTATTTCTGTGTGCTGGTCCTGTTAGCTTTCTGGATAGCAGTAGGTAGATATCTGGGAGAGACGCACCTGGAAGCCCACGATTTCCTCGTAGGACCTGTTCTGGGGCATCCCAGCGAGAGGTCGCCTTTGTGATTTATTCACTGGAGATACCAGGACAAAATCCTGAACAGCTTTTTCAGCTGCATATGTAGAGACGTTTTGCAGCTATGGTGTGTTTGGTCTCCTGGGGACAGTCAGGATGAGAAAGGAGGACACCCTCAGAACTGAAACAGCGAGCTCTGAGGGGATGTATTGCACACATTTGCCCTATTCTTGCCTATGTACAATTGTGGTGGGAGGCAGCAGTTACCCTTATGAACCCGGCCTGGGGTTGGGGGTTTCTCAGGTGCTCCCACTGCAGCATAAGCAGATACTGCCCCTTTCTGCTTAACTGAGCTGCAGCAAGTGCCAGTATACATCTGCTGCAATGCGGAGCGAAAGGGCCGGGCACACAAGGCTGGTGTGCCGGAGCAAGCGTGCCCTCACTGCAGCTCCTCTGCTCCCAGGCTGTATTTGCATCCTAGCGGTGCAGGCCTGCTATGAGCAGGTGTCTGCCTTCCTGAGCTGGGGGTGGAGAGTATTCGGCACTCGGGTGCCGTATGTATCCGTACTTCTGGGAGTTGTGGTTTATGTACCCCAGCTAGCAGTGTGGAAATGCACTGTAGTGGTGGGAGCCAAGCACAGAAACCTGCCATAGCTGAGATTTGTAGGAGTGGGGAGTGGTGACATATAGCTGCAGGGTGGGGAATGCGGGAAGGCATGAATCGTTCCCCTCTGGGGACCTGGTGCCCAGCTGCCTCCCTGGGACTCTGCTTGTATGCATCGCCTGCTCATCACCTTGATGGAGATTATAGAAGGGAGCCCACTCTTGGCTTGAAGGAGTCAGGCAGCATTTCAGTGGGCATCCTCCCACACCAGGTATCTTGTCTACTGAGGCCAGGAGCTCTGCAATGTGTGCGGTGTCAGGGAAGTGACTTTGGAGATGCTCTTTGGATACTGCTTGAAAGGAAACGGTTACCCAGGCCAACAAGGCCCCAGGGGTGTGAGCCCCAGCTGGACCCTGCCACTCCGTTGTGGTGAGTTTGCTGATGGGGTGTGCTGGGCCAGGAGGACAGGCTGCCGGGCGATGTGTCTCTGCCTGGGATAAGTCATATCAAACGTGTTCCCATTCTTCCATAGGCTGCAAGTTTGGCTCTCCAAGACATGCAACGTAGGCAGAACAGCTGCAGGCATTTCTAAGGCAGCTGAGCGGAGTAGCGTGTGGTGTCCTGCTTAAAAAATGAACTTGGCTCCCTGTCAGCAAAGCTGGGCTGCAGGGACCAAGGGAGGGAGCACGGGGAGAGATCGCCTGCCAGACGTGTTCCCCCTGGGCTGTCGGTGACTGCTCCTGGCTGATGCCTTCCCAGGCTCGGCATGTGCACGGTGGCCTGGCATCACTAGGAAGCTGAAAACCAACTGGCAAAGAGCAATCGGGAGCCAATGGTGGAGCAACCAAGAGGCTACCAGAGGCAGGAAGTGCCCTTACACACACTAGCCCACATGGAGAACAGTCAGGGCTACCAGCAGGCCAAGGGAGGCCTCGTAATGGCCTGGGTGCTGGTGAGACCCTCTCCCCTCCTCCCAGCCCCGACATCTGGAGAGACACCTCCGATGCAGGCAGGGTGCTAATTTCCTCTCCTTTATCTGCCAGCCCACAAAGTTAAGTGAACTATGGCTAAGCAAACCAAATTAAAACCAAGTGGGTTAATATCAACCCATGGATTAGCCTCTTTATCAAGTAGACGGAACTATATCAAGTAAACCAATAATTGTTTATAAGCTTTATTTAATTATCTGGGAGGCAGCTGTCTTGTAGCGCTCCTGGCCTCAAACTCAGAGGGGATTCCCAGCTCCAGCCCAATAAATTTATTTACTGATATTGCAGCCAAATGCCTGGGACCCATTACAGGGTTCAAACCCTGCCAGGCTGAAGGGATATTGAGACTACAACTCTGGTCTTGGATGTGGCACTGGAGGAGATGGCTGGGCAGATAGGAGGTCATTTGTCAAGCAAAGCTGTGATGCTGAGGCAGTTGTTGGTCTCCTGGCAGGAAGCGGAAAAGGGAAGACCCTTCCTGAAAGGTTACTCTTTCTTTTGGGATGTTGGTTGTGGTGAAGATGGGTTCATAGCTTAGCTGGCACAGGACCGTGGGAGGTGAGCCCTTGGGGGGATGCTCCCTCTGTGTCCTGCGGACAGCCATAGAGAAGGGGGAGGACAGGACTCCACCGAGCACACTGGCAGGACAGGGTGAAGCTGCTGGCGGTCACAAGGCGTCGTTTCCTCTTTGTACTGGAAACTGCCTCATGTCCTCAGACTCTCCTTCTTCCTCCTCTCTTTGCTCCTCTGCCAGTGAGAAATTACAGACCCTCTTCCCCTACACACCCTCCAGGCACAAAGGAGCCAGGACCCTTCAGCAAAGTTGCCAGCAGGTCTGAGGCCAGAGACGTTTCAGTTCAGGCCCAGCCAGAGCTGCTGCTGAAAGGCAGATGGGCGCTAGGGCTGTGCCAGTGTGGGCTTGCCCCATGTTGTCTGCAGGCAACAAGTCACGGTGAGGAGCAGTGGTGATGCAGCTGCTGAGGTACACTGGGTTTATTTTTAGAGGAGGTTGCAGGTTAGGTGGCCAGGCCTACTTGTGTAGCCACATTATGGCTGGGCTTTGGACTGGAGGTGGCTTAAACTGCATGACACCACCACCAGATGGGGTTCAGGGTTTGTTTTTTTTTTTTCCTCTCTCTTTTTCTTTGCTAGTCCTGGAACAAGAGGCAGTGTGGGTTTCTAGGGAAGTGAACTGGGCACACAGATGATGAACCTGGTGCTGGGAGGGGAACTTCGCTCCACAGCTCAGTCCCTTGCACTGGTAGCAGTTTGGGCTGCTTCTCATGTGGGTTTATCTGCTTTTGAGCAGCACTTCCTGTTCTTCTTTTCCCTGCTAGACCAAGGAGTCTTCAGCATCTTACCTGGAGGAGATCAAGTGCCTGGAGAGGGTGTCATCAAAGCAAACTGCCTTTCAGTCTCCTCTGAGTATGGACGAACTGAGCTCCCCCAGCTCTTGGGACAGAGACTCATTTCTGTGCCTCTGCTCTTTTTTGCTCTTCCCACATCTGTTTTTAGTCTGGCTACATCTGGCCTTGCAGGAGGAAGTACAGAGGAGCCTCTTGGGGTCATCTGGAGGATTTCTCTGCTCTCCAGGGCACATGCCCATTTCTGTGCTTCCCAGGGGCTGGGTCCTGAGTCCTCTTCTGGGGGGGGGCTGAGGGGAGATTCAGTCCAAGAATGGAGTTTCCTCTGCCCCAGCAGTACAACCTCCAGCTCTGAAAATGACTTATTACTGGGTACTGGGATGTGAGTGCACCCCATTCCCTTCTCTTTCTTCTAAGCATCTACTACAGAGGATGGTCAAAAACAGGATCTATTCCGGGAGACTTTTCCCTGAGCCAGGATGGCCAAGCCTGTGCAAAGCGGCCCTGGGTTCAGGGAGGGAGCAAGGCTTCGGGTGCCCCCATGCATCCTCCTATCTCTAGCATTGGAGGTGGGCTGGTGGGAATCGAACTGTCTCCAACAGCCTGCGGGGCACTGCCTAGGGTGCACTGTGTTGTGCTCCCTGCTGAAGGCAGACAAATGAATATCCCTTCTGGTGCTTTCTGATACACCTCTGGGCTTCCTCCCGATTGAGGGGGTGTTAGCTTGGGCCACTCCCTTTCCTGACGTTGCTAGTTCCCCTAGAGAGGTGGTCTCCACGGCACCTCCTTTTCCTAGCAGAAAGGACCCTTCCCAAGTCCTTTTGGTCACTGTATATCTGCCAACGATTTGTACAGACAGGACATGGCAGGCGGGGGTCTGCAAGGGCCAGGAGAAAGGGTCTGCAGCTAGGCTCCAGGTCTCCGACGTCATCCATGGCCGGTGAGAGCCTGGATGGTAGCTAAGCTCTGCAGAGCCAATGCCATCTTTCACCTGATATTTGTATTTGTCCCAGCAATGTTCTGAGCCTCTCATTTGGTTTTAGCCTTGAATATTCTACAACAGTTTCACGTGCAGGTGTGTTAGACCCTCGAATCGGCACACTCTGCATGTGCGTGCGTCAGACCCATCGACACAGTGTGTCTGTGTTCAGTCCCTAGTTTAACAAGCTGGCGGCTGCCATATGTGAGGCAGGTCCCAGATGGCTGATGAGCTCTCTCTTTGCATGGTGGGTTGGTGTGCTCTGAGTGCAGGAGGGGCTGTGTCCAACCCTGCTCTCATGAGGAGTTTGCAGAGTCTCAGCCCAGCCTCAGCTCTGCCTGTTTGACCCGTCCCACCCAGCATCCAGGTACCGGGGATCAATCCTGGATCATGTTCACTTAATGTCCCCTTCATAAATTCCTGCATGATGTGTCACCACTGTGTTTGTGAAGGGCTCAGCAGACACCTCCAGGAGATGGGCAGGTCGGGATCAAAGCTGGAATCTGAGGGAGATAATGCAGATGGTGTCCCATGCCTTGCAAAGAGGGTGAGCCAGAGCAACCCTCGCGAACCCTGCTGAGCAGGGCGCTGCATGGACCAGGCAAGCTGGTGGCTGGCTGCAAGCTCTATGGGAAACAGGAGGCTCTTTGGAAACATTTCCTTCACGGATAACCCTACCCTTGTCCAGCACAGCCAAGCAGGGCCAATGGTGAAGATCCGTCTCACCCCATGCAGCTCTGCCTGATGCTCTAGCACTTCAGTCCCCCCTTCCCCACCCAGCACTTGGATGCGGGTCAGGCCAGGTGGGAATTTCCTGCTTCGGGTTTGAGTTGATGCCCAGGCCCAAGGTGGCTGCCGATGAACAGGGCTGGGTGAGGGATTCCAGACAGCTCGTGTCCCCCTCCACAGCTGTGGCCCAGTGGGCTGCCGTGGCAGGGATGTGCCAAGGACCTCTTCCGTCAATGCCCGATGGCGCTCCTGCACTTTACACCCAGCTGCAAACCTCTGGGTTTGATTGCTGCTGCGGTGCTGGGAGAAGCAGGAAAAGCTGAACCCTGGGGGGACAATAAAGCAAGTGGAGAGGAGATAAGCAGGGATCAAACACGGCACGGGAGCCACCCCGCACTGGACTCTCAAAGGCCCCTTTGTTCGTGCTGCCTCCTGATCCAGTGCCGCGCTGCCTTCAAGGGCTGAGGGTGAGATAGCAACCCTGAGCTGGGCTCTGCGGCTGCTCCTGCCATCGCAGCCCTTGGCAGTTGGGCAGCCACCTGCGCTTCCCAGCAATAAAAGGAGGTTTAATTTCAGTCACAGGACTGATCCTGGTTGCAGACCAAGGCCTGATAACATATCTCACTGGTTTGTTTCAGTCGGGCAATAAAGCCATTATTGGGGCGGGAGGCGATGGAGGTGACACTCACCTTCGTCCTCACCCCGGGCCTGCTGAAGGAGGTCCCAGCGGGCTGTGCCCCTGGCCCCACTCTCCCTGACCCCAGCCTGCTGTCTGCCCTGCAGCTGCCCCGCAGTCCGCCTTGATGGGGAAATGCCGCCGGCCCCGCACGGCCTTCACTAGCCAGCAGCTCCTGGAGCTGGAGAATCAGTTCAAGCTCAACAAGTACCTGTCCAGGCCCAAGCGCTTTGAGGTGGCCACGTCGCTGATGCTGACCGAGACGCAGGTACCTGGGTCTTGGCGTGACAGAGGATAGTATCGACTGGCTGCCGGGGAGGTGGGGGGTTGAGCTGGGCAGTGGCGAGCCAAGGCCACAGGCAGCGCTGGTCCTCCTGGCTCTACTGCCATCAGCCCTTGCCCTGCTGCCTTTGCTGGCAGCTCTTCTCAGGGCATTGACCTGCCTGGAGGGCTCCCGGCTCCTCTCTTGTAAGGAGCAGCCCAGAAAACCTGTTCTTCTCCTTGACGCCCCCAGATTGGGTTTCAGAGCCCTCCCATCTTTCCTTGCACCATGGGAGGGAGCTCTTTGCGGAGCTAGTGTCCCTCTTTTGATGATCCCATGCATGTCCTTTGGGATCCTGGGGAGTTGCTGGTCCTCTTCGCCCCCACCACCGAGGCTGGGCAGGGGAAAGGAGCAGCTCTTTGGGGTACATCTCCCCTTGTGGCGTCCTCAACCTCCTTGCATGCACCTCTGGCACTGAGGGACCACCTGCAGCAAGGAGCTGTGTAGGGGTCTGTGATGCAGGGGAGGCTGGGGGTGGGTGAGGACAGGGTGAGGATGGGAGCATGCATTCTCCCCATGGGGCCACTGCTCAACCTCGGTGCACCCACTGAAGGACAGCAACCAACTGCTGAGATCCAGGGCAGCCCCTCCTGGGTGCCAGCAATCCCATCTCCCCTGTGCCCACCGTGCCGCGGGACGGGGGCTGCGTCGGGCGTCCACGCGTTTGCATGGGGAATAAGTCTGGTCTTGATGGCAGGCTTAAGGTGGTCCTCAGGATGTAATGTAGATATGCCTAGCCTTTCCCAAAAGATGATGTGCAAAGAAAGCAAACTGAGTTCGTGGGGCGCAGCGCTGGCTCCGGCTTCCTACACTGCAGCACCGCCGAGCTGGGCTACGGCCCGGACTCCTCCTGCTCGGGCGGTGAGGAGGACGAGGAAGAGGAGGAGGACGAGATGGGTGCCACGGAGAGGAAGATCGGCTCTGTGTTGTGAAAGGCAGCGGGAGCCTGGCTGGGGAGTGGGGCCGGGCTGAGGCATCGGGGGTCTCTTTTCTGGCAGATATGGACTGTTCCCAGGCAGAGCAGGAGGGGCCGCAGGGCACCTGCCTCCCCTTTAACTTATGTGTGTTTGGATCCTATTTAACTCATAATTATTCCTCTGTGTGTATCTGGGGGAGTCCCCACATCCCTCCTATATAAAGCTATTATCTGGATGCCAGTGCTCTTCTTTAGGGGCCGGGCGGCTCCAGCACCCTCCTGCCACCACGCTGCCTGCTGGATCCCTGGGGAACAGGGTGGGCACAGCAGACTGTCACAGCTGGCAGGCTGCAGACACATCTGGAGGGGTCAGACCTAGGCTTTGTCCATGCACTGCCCTTTTGCTGCAGATATGACTGTTCCCAGGACACGGCACCCTGAGCCCTACCTGATGCCAGGTGCCTTTCCCCTTGCAGACCCGAGGGGATGGGAAGGAAGATGCCTGCAGAATGTGTGCCAGCCCTGCCCTGCCTCCTTCTGCAGCTGCCGCATCGCTGGTGGGTCCTGCATTTTGCAGGATAGGATGCATTGGTGCAGGCAGCCAGGAGCTGCAGACTTGCTCCCAGAGCAGCCCTCTGGGCACGGGGCCTCCCTGTGCACTGCTGCTCTGGCCATGGGCAGGGGGTCAGGGCTGGGGAGGAGGCAGCAGCCTGCTTGCACCCTCATGAGGTGCCAGGCACCCCTAGCACCTATGCCTTCACCCACTACTCCCAGATGTGCAGCCCCTTTGCCCTACAGTAGGAAGCACCACATGCCTATGCCAGCACAGAGCAGGAGCCGAAGGCTGTGGGCTTGCAGAGAAGAGCTCATTAGCTAATTAGCTAATTGGCTAATGAGCAATGCCATTCTCAGCACTGCAGGCAGCCTGGCTGTGGCAGTGTGGCATTGCCCTGAAACAGGGACTGGCTCTGGTTTGGGGCTGGAGCCTTCCTGGGTTTCAGGTGGTGCCTGTGGGGAATCAGTGCTGCAACAAGCCCACCTTTTCCAACGTGGATTTCTGACCCCTCTCAGCTCCTTTCTGGGGTCAACCCACAACCCGCTTGGGGGCCTGCTCGCTCTGTCTGGGCTCAGATGCACTCCTGGTGTCAAGATAACAACAGACCTCTTTGCCACCTCCCCCAAAACTCTGGCTTATCCCTAGGTCTGCCCTGCTTTGGGGGACAGGCTATCCCTGTTGTCAGGGTGCTAGAGGGTCCCAGCAGGTCCGGTAGATATACCTTGCCTCCTGCACGCTTTCTGGGCCTCTCCTAGGGGATCCTGAGGTGGCCATCCAGGCGGAGGACGCAGCTGGGCAATACCCAGCCTCCAAAGGACCCCCTCAGCACAGGGGCACCCTGCAGCAGCACCTCATGGGCTCTGTTCCCCTCCAGTGCTGCCCGCAGAGCTGTCCCTGGGGCAGAAGCTTGGCTGCAGCCCAGGGCAGCTCCAGGTTCTCTGTGGCAGGTGGTCACCTGGATGGGGCAGGGACACTTTGGTATGGCCCTGGCACCCCTCTCAGCCTGGGTGAGCCCCGGGGCTCCCTTCAGGCTGTGCCTGAGCCCTGCCCGCAAAGGGACAGATGGGACAGGGACTGGGTGCACGGAGACAGGCACTACTCAGGAGAAGGATGGACATGCAAATCGGATGTTGGGAGCAAGAGGAGCGTGGGAACTGACAGACAGATGGACGGGCATGCTGGCGGGTGAGGGTCCTGTGCGGGGTGACAGTGACCCGCAGTGGCTGCTGGCAGCTCAGCAGCTTCCCCCTGGGTGCACAGCCCAGAGGCCAGGCGTCCTCGAGGTGTGAGTCCTCTGTCCCCGAGCCGCTGCACCCGGGGCGGAGGTGCCAGGAGGCTGTAATGGATGACAACTTGGAGCAGGAGAGGAATAAATGAGGGGAAGGTTGAAAAAAGAAAGAGAAAGAAAGGAGGAAGGGATGGGTGAAGTAGGAAAGGACAGTACCCAGTCCCCTGCCATTGCCCTGCCGGGACAGAGAGGCAGGAGAGACCCCTTGCCCCAGGGGAGCTGTGGACCCGTAGCAGGCACCTGAGATGGTGGCAGATGCCAGCCTGTGGCTGCAGGAGCCTTGGCACCAAGTCTGTCTTGGCACCAAATCCATCCCCCATCCAATGTCCAACCTGACCTTGTGATAACAGGGAGCCACGGGAGGACCGCGGGCTGGGCACGCCGGGGAGGACGGCTAGACGGGGGCGCAGGGAAGGCAGGGCAGAGATGAAGATCAGAGAGGGAAAGCAAAACACGAGAGTGCCAGGAAGGAGGCGGAGAGCTGAAGGGGTGTCACAGTTTTAAAACATTCACCTTGATGGGCCATGACAGGTTTAATTTCCAGAGTATAACCATTAAACTGATGGATGGGGGGGGCGTTCATCTCGTGCTCGGCGCGCGCAGGCCCTGCTTGGCTGCAGGAGGGTTTATTTTGTTGCCGTTATTTATGAGGTTGTTTCTGCAGGAGCCAGGCACTCCTCCAGCCCTGGGGGACAGAGGAGGGGGCGCGAGTGATGCCAAGGAGTTGGGGGGCTGATTTACAGCTCCTTAGCTGGATGACTCATGTTGTAAACATAGACGAATGCCATTAAAGCCGCATCTCCTCTGTGCCTCTGCCCTCCACCCTCTCCTTGGCAGCAGGACGAGGCCAGCCCCGCTCACCAGCAGCCCCCCAGGCATGCTACTGGCCCTTCCCACCGGGGACATAAAGGCCCTCCCGCTCCTTGACCGACATGTGGGGCCATGGGAAGAAGCAGGAGTGACCTGCGGGGATGGCGGGGACATGGGCGATGCCCGACCAGGTCGTGCAGCCCCAGCTGCCTGTCTGTGTGCCCCTATCCCTATACCGGCCTTGACCCCATAGCTTCTTTTGGCAGTGGTCACAACTTGTTAATTGGGTCACTGACGGTCACTGACACTCCAAGGAGGCCGGTGGGGGTCCCAGACCCATAAAGGTGCCACCCCAGGTCTACCCTGGTACTCTCCAGCCTGCTGCACCCTGTGCCCTTGCCCCCAAAGCAGCCCCATCTCTTAGCCCCATGGCTTCCTCCCCACCCCCCCACCCGTCACACCCACAGTGCTTC